TCAGGCGGCCCACGGTCATGTCCGTCGACGCCGCGATGGTGGCGCGTGACCCTGGATCGCGCCGTGGCCATCGCCAGCGAACTGCAGTCCAAGCTGGACGTGGCAATGAAGAACGTGGCCGCGCGGTCGTTCAGCTGCGACATGGCCATGGAGGCGTGCGCGAAGGCTGTCCAGTCGTTGGCGAATCAGGCGGTGGGGCCGCCCCGGGAGAAGGACAGGGACAGCGGCAAGATGGGGCGCCGCGCCTCTCCATCGCACGCCTGCTCGACGGTCGCGACCTCGAACTCGCCGGCGACGGCGTTTTCGGACTGGAGGCGCTGGGCGATTACGAGATCCAGGGGTCCGATCGCGAGGGGGCTGCCAAGAAGAAGGCCGAACTGCAGTCTAAGTTCAAGGAGATGGCGCAGGCAGCCTTCGGGAAGTTCGCATCGGGGGCGCGGGGGCTGGAGAAGCAGCAAACGGCGCTCAAGGACCGCCTGGCCGCCAAGAAGAGGAAGACCACGGACGCCGACGACGTCGAGAAAAAGGTGCCTCAGAAGGCTCCTGCGGCAGCGGCCCCACCTCCGATGCCAGCGCCGCCTGCGACCAGCGCGGCGGGCGCGGGCAGCCGCGGCGCCCCCCCCCGCCAGCGTCCCAGTTGTCGGCGCACGCAGGGCGCCTGGCGACGAGGCTGCTGCGATTCGCGGTGGCGGCTGCGTGGGCGAGGCCTGAACGCCCCAGGGCGGGCGGGCCGCGGCAGCGAGGGCCTCCAGCGCGAGGCAGGCGCAGGACAGGCAGCCCTATAACGTCGGCATAGCCCCACGCCGTGCGTCTGCGTGGCGCGTTACTCTGAACTACCGTCGGGTGCCGGGCGTCTTGCGAATGGGTCATGTCTACCTCGGCAGGCCCTTGCAAGGCCCGGGGGGCCCCCCGGTCGGCGCTTAATCGGCAATCCCACGTCGTCTCGAGTCGTAGGGGCGAGTGGCCGAACCTGCTACTGGTCACTGAATTTGGGCGCCGTGCCGAACGCGCAGTGCGATGCGTCGATCAAGCCTCGGCTCTCCCCCCCTTTGTGACTTAGATATTGGTCTCGGCATCGCCGACTACAAAGCGGATTGGGTGGACGGCGACCTGTCGCAGAAGGCAGACCTGGGTTCCTGTCCTCGCTGCAACCTGCGCGCCACGAAAGTCCTCGAGGGCACAACCTGGATATCTTTGTGCAGATCGGCAGCGCCCTCCACGCGCAGTCGACCGTTCATACGTACTGTGGGGTGGGGGGGGGGGGGTCTGGCAGGATCTTCCAGAGTCGCTCAACAGCGCGCGATGGCCCGCGTCAGTGAATGACATGGTGGTGGCTCCTGACCAAGCCACATGCTACGCGGCGTCATGTACGAGGGTAATTGAATACTTCTGTGTCAAGTGCGATCTAATGGGGATGCCGTGCGCATGCCTACGACGAGCGGTCCAGTGCAACGCAGGGGGGTCATCCTTGAGCAAGACACAGCATATCTCCCTCATGGAGCAGAAAGCTTTCACGGCGAAAGCATTCCGCGAAAGCTTGCAGGCCAGCTGACTAAACCTCAGCTCCCCGCCCCATGCTGGCAGGAGGTGCAGGCGACTGCGGGGGCGGCTACCTCGAAGGAGGAGCTGAACGACTCTTTCGGCATGTGGCTGGGGGAGTACGAGGACGAGCTCATCCAGCACTTCGGAGTTGATCAACCTGAGCGACGCCGCAGGCGAGCCGACGGGGTTCGGATCGTCGGCTCCGCCTTCTTCATGCATTGCCGCATTCAGGCGGGAAGGCGGGGGGCCTCGGACCCTTGCGAGGGTTGCTGGCAATGGCTCGCCCAACGCTTGCAGGAGTGGCCTGGTTTCGGGTTGACATCGGCTTCGTGGGCTACAGCTGCGACTCATGAAGTTCACTTTGCCACAGCAGTCGCGATAGCTTGAGATGCGGGAATCATGGGAGGTCCATAGTGCGACGACAGGACAATCTCAGCGAAGAGGACCTGGACTTCTTGATGCTCGACCTTGAGACGTGCGCTGATCGTGCTGCCAGCCAGGCCCCCTGCCGCAGGTGCCAAGCCTGGGTCGATTGGCCCCTTCGATTCCACATCGCAGGGCGGGTGGGCTGCGGAGGGCGTTCCGCTGGATCAAGCAGGGCGCTCCGTGGACCTGCGCCAATGCCGCGGCTGGCCCTGTCGCGGCCAAGTCCCCTGCGGATTAGGCAGAGGGCGCGGTGGGACCTTGGCATGAGCTGCGTGGACAATGCGAAGGGATAGAAGCAGCCAAGCGGCCCAATGACACTGGCGAGTTCGAGGTCCCATCCATGGATGACATCAAGCGGGTCGCCCACGCCTTCTGTTCAGCCACGGGGCTCGATTGCGACGTGGTTCGCTCGGGGCGCATCCTCTTCCTGGGCGACGGCGCCCTCCAGGCCGTCCGCGCCCCGTGGGGCGCCAGGCTAAAGGTAGGGCAGGGTCGCTCGTTTGCCCGAACCTGACGGCGGCAGGCTCATTATCGGCATCTTCCCAGGCGCGATGCGGCCGTCGACCAGGTGGCTTCGGTCTACGACGGGATCAAGGTGGGCGGACCTGAACAAGCGGACCTACATCTTCGGGGCCGAGAGCCAGAGTTGTGAGGCGTGCGCGTAGAGGCAGGCTGCTGCGGGGGAGTGGGCCACGATCGACGAGCAGACGCGCCTGTCCATCTTGCTGGACCTGTGCAAAGCGTACGAGTACATCAGCCGGCGCGAGCTTTAGAAGCGGGCGGCGGGGTTTGGTTTCAACGCGTGCTTGACAAGGTTTATTCTGGGCCTCTGCTCGACGCCGCGGCTGCCCCCCCACGAAGGGGTGGTGTTCGAGCTGATGGCGCCCGTGCGCGGCGTTGTAGCAGGCTGCTCGTTCGCCGGCCTCGCGACGCGCGACTTCCTCATTCCCATCCTGGACGGGGCGTCGATGATGCCAGACATCCAGGTAGGCAAGGTGGTCGACGAAATCCAGATGCAGGCATCGGGGGCGCGGACGACGGCGGCGCAGCATATAGGCGCAGCGTGCCGCAGGGTCAGGGGCGAGCTGCAGGGTGCAGGATTGCCAATGAAAGAGAAGAAAGGCAAGCTCGTGGGCAATAACCATCAGGCGGCCAAGGAGCCCGCGCAGGCCCGGGATCGCTCGACAAGGGGCCTCGGCTGCGACTTAGCCCGCGGCAAGCGCATCGGCACACGGGCGCGGGTGGGGCGCCTGGTCAGGCGCAGAGGTGGCGCACAAAAGCCAGGGCATTGCAGGGCGAGGGGCAGGTGCAAGCACTTGGTCATCCTGTGGCTCGTTCCCGTGGGCACCTGGGGCGATGGGGTCACAAGGGGGATCCTGGAGTGGCGTGGTGGCCCTTCGCAGGGCCGCGAGGGCCTTCCTCCTCCCCCGCGCGGCCAGACGCTCGCTCACTATCGACCTGGCGCCGGCCCAGGGAGACGCCGCCGCCGTTGGCCGCGCCTGCCCGCGCGCGGCTCAACCTTTCAGCGAGGCTCGCCCAGGCCTTGTGGGAATCGTGGTTGTCCAGAGATGCCTTCAGCATAGTGCTTTTGCCGCCGACAAGGCCCTTCGATGGGGCCAGCGTCGGCCGCGCTCGCGTCTGGCCGCGGCGTCGGTTGGGCCATCGGGGCGGGGGCTGGCAAGTTGCGCGCGGCGGAGGGGGCGCCGTGGACTTGCGCTGCGACGGCCCCCACAATGCAAAAGGTGATAGTTCAGTGGGGGTCGCGGCGCGGCTGCTCGATGAGGCCAGCTGTGAAGATATCTACATAAGCGATCTGTCTCACGCCCCCTACCTTGTCCCCGTTCAAGGCCCTCCTCTTCTAGAAGCCTAAGGCTGACTGGCCTGGTTTGCGCCAGGCCGCGCTCGGGTGTTCGGCTGCTGGCGTTTTTTTGGGAGATGAGAGGCTGCGCAGCGTAGGCTTGCACGATGGCCCTGCTTGCTCTGCGTGCGGGGCGGGCCCTGGGGGGGCGGCGCGCGCGCGCGTGGGCCTATCGGCGTGACTGCCTCGTTCCACGTTCGCTCCTGGAGGGGGCGAAGACCCGTCCCGACGGGCCGCTCTGGTGCCGCGCGCTTGTGGCTGGTCCCCGCGCCTGGCTCCCTTGTCCCGCGCTGTGTCTGCTCGCGCACTTGCTTGTCGGACCCGACGCGGCCGGTTTCGAGGGGCCGTGTTTCGGAAATCGTTCGCGTCGCGCGCTGATGGCCAGCGCCCCCGGATTGCGCCGCGCAGGATGGGGGGCGGCCCAAGTGAATTCGAGCGGGCTCGACGCGATCGCTTCGCTGTGCGGCCGCCTCCCAGAATCAAATCAGAGCTCCGAGGTTGCCGAACTTTTTGCGCTCGCGATGTATCTAGACAGTGTCGGTCTAGGGCCAAGCGAGTTTTTGTCTGATTGTGATTGGGTCGTCCCGAGCTTCGCTAATGGCCGCGCTGAGGCCGCCGGCGCACTGCGCGCGCGCGGACCTGCGGGAGGTGGCGCGGGACCGCGTTCGGGACCTTTGGGGGGGGGGAGGGGGGGGGGGCGTGTCCGTCGCCAAGGTGGGGGGTAATGCGCGCGCGATGATGGCCGCGACGCTAGGGCCAGGTGGCGCCGCTTCGGCAATAAGCCAGCCGACGAGTCGGCGCGCCGAGGGCTCCAGATGCACGCTGTAGATGTTGCGGCCCAGGTAGCGTGATCAAGTCTCACAAGTTGGTCCAGTCTGTTGGCAAGTTCCTGGCCTGAACGATACGCGCTGCTGCGCCCAGCCTTTCGTCTGCAACCCGACGTGGGGTGGGGCTTCGGAGGGGGCGACGAATCGCCCCTCGGCTCTCCGACGATGCTGCGCCCCCCCGAGGGCGCCCGCGACCCCGTCTGGTTTCCCAAGGGTGGCTTCAGGTGCATGAGGTGCCTGAGATCTGGAGGCCCCATCTAGATTCTGAGAGCCAGCCCGTGTAAGCCAGGTGCTGGCCACCGAGTTTGGACGGCTGGCCCTTTCGTGTTCTGCAGTGTTTGCGGGGCATACATTGAACACAACACCCAGAAGCTCGGCCAGGATTGTCACGGACGTTGCCCGCGTGTGTCCGTGGCCTGGGGCCGCTTGCGTAAGCTGTGGCGTGGCTGTCACCTTCGCAGTGGGGCCGAGCTTCTGGGTGCGGGAGGCGGCCTGAGACCTACCCCTTTCGGTTTATTCGCCTTCGACCGCAAATTCAAGGACTTTGAGGTCCGACCTCTGTCGGAGGATGAGGATGCAGCCTGGGGTGGCCTGGTCCTGGGGCCGCTCTCGTTTTAGTTTTGTGTGTTTCCGACGGTGGCACTCAAACCCCTTTTTGGCCTCCCTCCCCCCCTTCCTGAGAAGCGCCCGTCCTTCCGTGATCGCGCTTGCGCGAGGCCGCTGGCTGCGTGCCCTCTGACAGCACCCCCCTGGCCCCAACACTACAAACTCTTTCCTCCTCCTCCTCTTTCCTCCTCCTCCCTTTGCTTTTACCTTCCGTCCGCATGACCGTTGTGGCACACCCCTCCCGCGGATCGTGGCGGCCTGCAGGGTGCTCCTCCTGCGGTCCCAATCACGTCGGCGTCGGTGTTGCGCACCTCGCACGCCGATCGCTGCCCTATAGGGAGCTCCGCCTGCGGCCCAAGCGATGGCGTTCACTTCGGCGCCCCCCCGCCATTCACGCGGAGCGTGGCCTCACAGGGAGCTGCACCTGCGGCCCCGGGGAGGGCGTTCATATCTGCGCCCCCCACCCAGGCCGGCGCCCTCCTCTGGTCACCTCCTCCTCCTCCTCCTCCTCCTCCTCTTCCTCTTCCTGCTCCTCCTCCTCCTCCTCATCGTCCTCCTCCATTACTTTTCCTTTCCCCGAGGCCAATTTTTAGGGTGGTCCCGGCGTTTCGCCTGATACTTCCTCACCTTTTATGATTCTGAAGCCTAAAATTGGGCAAGCGTTTCGCAGATGGAGGGCGGGTGTTTCTCCAAATGTGGCTCTCGCCTTAGCGCGGCGCACCTTCGGCTTAAAACAATTGCAAGAGTTCCACGGACTGAGGGCGGGCCGTTTCCAAAATGTGACTCTCGATTTAGCGCGGCGCACATTCGTTTTAAACATTTGCCAGAGTTTCGCGGATTGAGGGCGGGCCGTTTTCAAAATGTGGCTCTCGCCGTAGCACGGCGCACACTCGTTAAAGCAATTCAAGAGTTTCACGCATTCCCATCACCAACGTACCAGAAATTGTGTTTTGGAAGGATTCAGAATTATGTGAATGCAACAGCTATGTTGATTCTCTGTGTTGAAGTCCTCTTAGGAATTGCGTTCTGGCACGATTCAGGATCGTCAAGACGCAACAGTCAGGTTGATCCGTGGCGTTGGAATCGCGAACCTCCCGATTTCGAATCCAGATGTGAGTGTCTACATGTGAGAGAGCGTGATCCACCGCCGCTTTACTGTGGAAAATTCCCCCCCCCTCCCCTCTTCCTCCGGAACCCGGGGTTACCCCCCTCCTCCGAACCCCCCCCCCCTGCTGGACCCCCCCCCCCTCCCTCGGCAAAACCCCCCTCTCCCCTAACCCCCCCCCCCGTCGTCGTCCGTCGTCGTCGTCGTCGTCGTCGTCGTCGTCGTCGTCGTCGTCGTCGTCGTCGTCGTCGTCGTCGTCGTCGTCGTCGTCGTCGTCGTCGTCGTCGTCGTCGTCGTCGTCGTCGTCGTCGTCGTCGTCGTCGTCGTCGTCGTCGTCGTCGTCTCGTCGTCGTAGTCGTCGTCGTCGTTCGTCGTCGTCGTCGTCGTCGTCGTCGTCGTCGTCGTCGTCGTCGTCGTCACCGTCGCGTCGTCGTCGTCGTCGTCGTCGTCGTCGTCGTCGTGTCGTCGTCGTCGTCCGTCGTCGTCGTCGTCGTCGTCGTCGTCGTCGTCGTCGTCGTCGTCGTCGTCGTCGTCGTCATCGTCTCGTCGTCGTTTCGTCGTCGTCGTTGTTCGTCGTTGTCGTTCGCTTCTTGCTGTCCTGGAGTGGGCGGTCGGGAACAGTGACGTCAGATTGTGTGCACATGCTACTGCGCTTGCGCCTCTTATCCCACCCTGGGTTAACGAGTGCGCGGGCAATATTCAGTTTCGGTGTCGAATCTGTATGCCATCTTGGTGTCCCCCGTTTCAGGTATCTCCCCCAAGACCACCAGGACTGTCATCTGGAACCACCTCGACGCGCGCGCGCGCGCCCCCCTCCCTGTCGCCCCCCCCCCCCGGGTGAAGACCGTCTCTAGGCCTTACCCGTGAGGACCATCATAGGCCTCACACCCCGCGCAGCTTCCATCATAGGGGCTGCGTGGGTTCCCCACCCACACCTTTTCATGATGACGCCAATTGCCACCGGAAGGGGCCGAGGACCTCCCTGCAGCCCCTCGGCCAACGAAGGCGGCTGCAGGGAGGGGCCCAACGTACCTCCACACCTTTACACCTCTTCACCTTCACATTATGGCGCCAATTGCCACCACTCGATTTTCCTCCAGAAAACCGGGGGGGTCACTACAGGTTCGAACCCCCCCCTCCCCCCCCCTGGCAAAACGGGGGGGGGTCACTACCAGTTCGAACCCCCCCCAGCAAACCAGAGGAAGGTCACTACCGGTTCGACCCCCCCCCCTCCAGAAAATGGGGGGGTCATTACTGGTTCGAACCCCCCCCTCGAAAACCGGGGGGGTCACTACCGGTTCGAACCCCCCCCCTCCCCCTCGAAAGCAGGGGGAAACAGTACCGGTTTGAACCCTCCCCCCCTCCACCTCGAAAGCCGGGGGGGGCCACTACCAGTTCGAACCCCTCCCCCCCCCCTCGCCGCCAGCAAACGACTCCCGGTCCATACCACCGTCCGCACCACATCCCCTCCTGCTGTTCCCAGCACCACTGACCTCACCACCACTGTCCCCGCTGGTTCCACCACTTTCCCTACTGCCCCCACCAGTGCCCCCACCACTGTCGCACTGTCCCCACTGTCCCCACCACTGTCCCCACCACCGCTCCGCTCTCCCCACTTTCTCCACGGCCCCAACCACTGCCCGACTGTCCCCACTGTCCCCACTGTCTCACTGTCTCCTACGCTGTCCCACTGAGCTGTCCCACTGTTCCCAACACTGTCCCCACTGTCCCCGCTGTACCTCTGTCCCATTGTCCCACCGCCGTCCTCGCCACCGCCTTCACCACTGTCCCCACCACCACTGTACCCTCCACTGTCCCACTGTTTCCACCACGTTCCCACTGTCCCCACGCCACTGTCCCCACCACTGTCCCGCTGTCCCCTCGCCACTGTCCCCACCACCACCGTCCCCACCACTGTCCGCCCCCCCCCCCCCCGGTTTTCGAGGGGGGGGATTCGAACCGGTAGTGACCCCCCGGGTTTTCTGGAGGGGGGGGGGTCGAACCGGTAGTGGCGCCCCCTTTTCATGATAGACTGGGGGGGGAGGGGTTCGAATCGGTAGTGGCCCCCCCGGTTTTCCGCCAGCAGCGGTAGAACACGCTCTTTCCTACATGTACACGTACATGCTATGTACGTATTTGCTTAGATCTTCACTTGTACATATACCTACACATACATAGATACATGTGTGTTTTTTCACAGCTATATCTATGCATTTTCTTAGTTGTCCCTCCGAGGGGCGGCCCGCGAACATCTGTAGGAGCCCATGCCAGGCAAGCGGCAGGCCCTCTGCCACGCCTCCGGGTGCCGAGGGGGGCACCGCGGCGGACATCTGCGCCGCGCGCTGGCTGTCGCAGAACGACCGCCACACCTGCCCGCTCTGCATACGACCCGTTTTCGAGTCCAGCGGAGCCGACTAGCTCGCAGCCAGGGCCCACCGCCACTACCACAGGTAGGACAGGGAGGAGGAGGAGGAGGAGAAGGAGGAGGAGGAGGAGGAGGAGGAGGAGGAGGAGAGGAGGAGAGGAGGAGGAGGAAGGAGGAGGAGGCGGAGGGAGGAGGAGGAGGAGGAGGAGGAGGGGAGGAGGGAGGAGGAGAGGAGGAGGAGGAGGAGGAGGAGGAAGGAGGAGGATGGAGGAGGAGGAGGAGGAGGAGGAAGGAGGAGGAGGAGGAGGAGGAGGAGGAGGAGGAGGAGGAGGAGGAGGGGAGGAGGAGGAGGAGGAGGAGGAGAGAGGAGGAGGAGGGCCTCCTCGTCTTCCTGTCTCCCCCGTCCTACATATGGCAGAGCGGTGGTGGAGAATCTGTCCGAGGGGAAGCGCGACACAGGCAGAACATGCTGAAGGACCGCGCGGGTTTGCTGGATCCGCGCTCTGCGCTGGACCCCCTCTGGGTGCGCCGGGGGGGGGGGGGGGGGCGGGGCGCTCTGCCCAGACCCAAGAGACTCGCGCGGGCCTCCGAGCGTTTCTGCTTCTGCTGTGTTCTCTTCGATCGTTCCATGGTGGCCCCTTTCCTCGGTATCGTTTCATCGATCCCCATCCCCATCCCCATCCCCATCCCCTTCGAGACCCCCACCACATTGCCACTCCAGTCGGGGATGCACCCCTCGAAGTCCGACGGGAACGACCCATAGCCCCATCCAGGGGGGTACATCGGCCAGTGGGGCCCAGGCCACGCCGCTGGGGTTGGGGATCGGTCCAACGATGCTCGCCTCTCCTTCGAGGGGCCGGGGGCCACGCCGCGGCCCAGAAGGCCCCAGCTCGAGCCCCCCGAGCAGCCCAGGCGCACCGGCAGAGAGCCGCTCTTTCTGATCGTGGCCGGGGTCCGGCGTTCGTTCTTCGGGTCCCCTACATCCTCCCTCCTCCACCGCCCACCACATTCCCTCCTCCCTCCTCCTCCCCCTCCTCCCCCCTCCTCCCTCCTCCTCACCCTCCCTGCTCCTCCTCCCCTCCTCCCCTCCTCCCCCTCCTCCCTCCTCCTCCTCCTCCTCTCCTCCTCCCCCCTCCTCCTCCCCTCCTGCTCCTCCCCCCCCCCCCCTCCTCCCCTCCCCCTCGTGCTCCTCCTCCCCTTCCTCCCCCCTCCCTCCCTCCTCCTCCCCCTCCCTGCTCCTCCTCCCCCTCCTCCCCCTGGAGGTCTCCGCACCGTGGTGATGCTGCAGCGTGCAAGTTGCAGCATTCTCACGGACGGAGGGCGGCAGGGGGGGATAGGGAAAGGGGGGGTCACGAAATTTGCTGCATATAGCTCGTTTCGGCCCCACCGAAGGGCCCATTCCTCGATACATGGCCGCCTCCGGCGCCGGGAGGCGCCGGGAAAATCAGCTACGTGAGCTGGTTCTCACCCCCGTTTGCTATCCCCCCCTTTCGCCCAGCCCGATTTTCACGGACGGAGGGCGGGGGGTCCTTTTCAAAATGCGGTTACCGCATTCGCGTGAAATCGGGCGTGTCTCTCTACAGGAGAATCTTCAAACATTCTTCTACCATCGTTTGACTATTTCTGTTCTTCTTGACTGTCTTTACTTTTGCGCCCAGAATCCGCCTGTAGGGGGACATGCCCGACCTAACCTTGGCGCCGCGCGCATGTGTCTTACTAGTTTGCAGCAGCATCATCAAGGATGGAGGAAGGCCGTTCTCAATATGTTGCTATTGCTCTAGCGCTGCGCACGTTAGTTTTAAGAGCTTGCCGTATTTTGAAGGATCGAGGGCGGTTCATTTTTCCAAGTGTGGCTCTCGTCGTAGCGCGGCGCACAGTCGATTTAAAAGCTTGCAGCAGTTTCAAAATGGAGGGCGTGCCTTCTTCAAAATGTAGCTCTCGCCCCATCGCCGCCGACATTTGTCGTTAACGTTTGCGGCAGTAGCAAGGACTCGTGTGGTTGAAGTCTCAGGAATGGTGTTCAGGCGCGATCTAGGACTGTCAAGACGAAACACTCACGTTGATTCGCGTGGTTGAAATCCCAGGGACGGTGTTCTGGCACGACTCAGGGCTGTCAGGACGCAACAGTCACGATGATTCGCGGCGTTGAAGTCCCAGGAATATTGCTTTGGTATGGTTGAGGATTCTCAGACGGTTGTCCTCTAATGGGCCACTTCCCGCAATCAAAACAGCTTCTTGCAGGGAGCTGTGGAGGGGAGCTTTCAGGGAGGGCTTCTATTGCAGCATCGTGCTCATGTAGTGTCTTGAGTTTTACCCTCCTCTTCTTCCTGTACCCTTCCTCCTCTTCCTCCTTTTCCTCCTCCTCCTCCTGCTCCTGCTCCTCCTCCTCCTGCTCCTCCTCCTCCTCCTCCTCCTCCCCAGGAGGTTCCCAGAGGCCCCCTGAGGTCGCCGCAGAGATCCCCTGGCAGCCTGCAGAGGTACCCGGAGGCCTCCAAAGACCCAGCGGAGGGAGCGACGAGCTCGGACCCTCGATACCCGGTGTTGCCTCCCGAGGGTCGGGCCACCACGGAGCAGCTCCTGTCGTCGTGCCGCCGCACGGGGGCAGCGTTGCCCGCCTCGTGCCCGGCCTCAGCCCCGTCGGGGCTGTGCCGCCGCGCTGTGTGTTAGTCTCATGGCTTCCTCTTTTTGTTCTCTCTCTATCTCTCTCTTTATCACAGGGGTCTCCTCATCCTCGCCTTGCTCTTCCCCCTCCCTTCGTCCCCCTCCTCAGCCTCCTCACTCGCCATCCTCGGCATCGCCTCCTTCTCTTCTGCCCCTTGCCCCCGCCTGCCTCCTCCCTCCTCTTCCCTCCCGCCTCCTCCTCACTCCTCCGTCCTCATTCCTCCTTCCCTCCTCCCTCCTTCCCCCATCTCCTCCTCCTTCTCCTCGTGGCCAGGCGCATCAGGTACCCCCGACATGACTTGGACCCAGAGGCGTTAGTGGAGAATGTCCAATAGTGGAGTGAAACCCAAGATGCCATACGATTTCGAGCAGAATTGCATACAAGGCAGCTATGGAAGCAAGTACGAGAATAAGTTGCACATTGGACGCGCAAAGCCCTATCAGGCAACATGCGCGGGGCTCAGATATACGTCAACAAACATGAACATCGAGATCTACCAGACATGGCGGTGGACCCCATCACCAGAGAAGAGACGGGAGCATTCAGAGAAGCAACCTGATGTCGTGGAATATCGCCGTAAGGCTATGGGGTAAAATGGCGAAAGCCAACATGCAGAGCCGGTGTGCAGAAAAGGCTGGGTATTGGGATGCAGCTCTCCATGGGTCTTCAGCGTTCAGGGCAGCCATAGTATCGATCGATGGCGCTAGATGATACCAGCGCCAAGCGCAAGTCTTCGCTCTATGGGACGTTGTACTTGGATCTAAAAAGTTCGACGACAGCGTCGACCTCAGCATATGGATCAGGCGAGCCATGCAGCTGGTGTACCCCAAGGTTAACCTCTACATGTGCATGCTGATGTAACTCTCGCCAAGAGTGGTCAGTGCGTGCCAAGACCATGCTGGATGCCCATGGAATTTGATAGTGCCAGGATGCGCGCGGCAGCTAACCATGCAGCGCGAGCCAAGATATACACCATCCTGGGCATCACGCACAATGCAGATCCATGGGCCATAACAGGAGAATGCGTAAACGACATCCACACGAGGGTAGAAAAGGGCGACCATAATAAACTCAAGCGCAACTACCTCTTGCAGTCGACACGCTGGTCCAAGCGCGCCTGGACTTCAAGCTAGTGTCGTCGCAAGAAAGCCGGCACGAATCACCACTTGCGAGAAGACCAAGGAGCGCATCATCAAGCAGGTTGAAGCTTGAAGGCATGAGCAGCAAGACCCCGAAGTACGAGACGGACCTGGGCATTGACGCAGCGCTTGGGCGCACGCGGGCAACAACGACGCGGGCGAGCAGAACCAACAAGGCCAAAGCAAGGGCTAGGAGGGCCAACGTCTTCAGCAAAGAGAAAGGACGCTGAAGGCGGATACTGGCCGTGCTTTTCAACGCCAACCTGCGGGCCAAGCAGATTTACGTTTGGCCCGTCACAGGGCTTGGCCCATGTGCTGTGCGAGACGCTAGAGCCAAAGCTGCAGACATGGCAGGATTCACAGCAGGAGGCCGATGCACCTCGACAATCAACGTGATCTTCTACGGCTGCAACGAGCTAGCGACGGCATGCTTACGAAGACAGATTCGATCAACTATTCAGATGTGGCAGAACAAGTACCAGCGCATGACCGACTAAGACAAGGGTGGCACGAAAACTTGCTTCGACTTGGGTAAATGCGCACACGAGGACGATGGAAATCTGTATCATAATCTATGGCTGCCTTGATGCTTTCGCTGCAACAGATAGGTCGGGCGCCAAAGCAACCCGACGAATGGGAAGACCCAAGGCGCAGCGGATATAATATCTTTGTTAACAGTGACTTAGATTTCACAAGAGAATAACCCCATTCAGTGGGTTATTTGAAAATTTGTGGTATGGATACTGAGATCGATTGTGAGATCGATCGTGGAATCGATAGTGAGACCGGTAGTGAAGTCGATTCAGTGAGACCAATAGCGAAGTCGATTCAAGGAGATTAACAATGAGATCGTTCGTGAGATCGCTCGTGCGATCTATAATGAGATCGGTTGTGAGATCGATCGTGGGATCGAGTGGTATCGATGGTGAGATCGATAGCGGTGGGTAATGAGGTCGATGGTGAGACCGATCGATAAGGCGGTCGACTAGGAAGCCGGGAACCCAGGATCCCTGCGGCCCACCGAAACTGGCCCAGAACATATATCCGGGAAACTGGGAAACCGGAACCGGGAACCCGGGAACCCAGCGCGCGACCAAACTCGGCGGGGCACGTTCGCCAAATCTTTCACTTTCCGCGAGGACTCCTTCAGTGCAAGCGCTGATTGGGGAACTTGAGGGAGATCATGGGGGCCATCGCCGCGGACATGGGGGCCCAGCTCTGGAAGACAGCGAAGGACATTTACCGCGGCCCGGGCATGCAGCATGGCATGGGCGCTACTATGCTCAAGAAGACCCAGCAGAAACTGCGAAAATCCGACAGAGTTCAAGAGGTTGGAGCACTAGAGGCACCAGCTTGCGGCACGGTCTGGACGGGACAGCGATTCAAAGACGCTGGGTGCCAGACGGATGGCGTATGCCCATGGTGCTGAAAGTCGGCCGACGCACTCAAACATAGGATCTACGAATGCGAGATGGACGACAACCTCTCCGCCGAAGCAGTCGTCAAATTCCAACTGAAGGGCCTTTGAGCAAATGCAGGGGGGGCCCGACGCGGGGGCACTCTGGTTAAGAGGGCTACTGCCAAGACATTGGAACACGGTGTCAGAGCCAACCACCAGGGGAAAATGGGATGGGAGGTATTGGACTTCTGCGAGTGAAGGGCCTATGGTCATTGCTCAGGATCTGGTCGCCATCGTGCCCATCAGTAGCGCCCATGCCTGCGTCGACGGGTCCGGGGCCAGCAACGACAAGCGCATCAACAGGGTCGCATGGGGGCTCGCCTTTTTGCGACGACGAGAGAGGCCAATCCCAACGTGGACATCGACGACTGCGGTGCCGTGACCTCATCTCGGAAGGTGAAGGTACAACCCAGGACACCGAGTCAGAGGACGCGGTCGTCGCAAGGGCGACGGACGAAGCGGTCGAGCAAGTTCGCGAGGACACCATGCACGACCGAAGGGTTCGGGCAACAGCATGGACAGTTGACGTCGGCCATGACGAGGCCAAGAACTCGAACAACTGCAAGATGTGGTGCGTACCATATACTGCACCAACCACAACGGGCAGCGCCCCTCGGGCTGCTGCAGGGCCGCTACCAGACCATGAGCATCGGCGAGACTGCGAGGGATATCTGCGATGTGCCATGGGGGGCCGCCAGGAAACCATGGGAGGGGGTCTGCGATTGCTGCGTCGCGCTCGCACGGTGGGAGAAAGAAAAGCCCGCGTGGCTCACCGGCGGGAATGCATGGCGGAGGTCGAGGAGATATTTCGTCAACGACTCCAAGACCGAGCGCCCTCATTTGAGGGCGAACACCCCGAGTGCTACGACGACAGCAACGAGGCCCAGCCCACGCGACCACGACGCGCAGCGGACAGAAGGGCCATCCGTGGGACAGACCACATCGGTACCTTTGGCACCCTGGACGGCGAGCAGACCGTTCCAGCAGCTGAGCGCGCGGGTTTGTTTTGGGCCCTGGCCATCGCTAAAGGCCCGATCACGATCTACGCGGACTGCCGGCATGTCATGAACGGATGGCCCCAGCAGTTCTACGTGTGACCCCAGGGGTCAGTGCGAGGATGGTGGCGACGCATAGGGCAGACGGTCCTTCAGCGTTCTGGAGGGGCCCATCAAGTGGAAGCGGCCAAGCGCTACTCGCACCCCGACCAAGAGTCCAGTCAACAAACGGGCCAATCCTTCGAGGCCAGCTTTGGCAATGAATTGACAGACCCCGCGGCGCAACGCGGGGAGAAGTTGGCTTTTGCAGACATTCGCGACGAGGCCAAACAGCTCCTGGAGCTCGAGATCCTGCTCATGCGAGCGCAGCGTAGAACAGCCGCTATCACCCCCGACATCTGCAAGGGCGCCAACCCCATCAAGCGTGAACGACGTGGGCGAGCTCCACGCAAGATGGCGCGCGAAAGACGTCGCCAAATCGAACAGGAGTCAGGGCACATCATGAAGAAGAAGAAGCAGAATGGCCAGTGGGTCTGCCGGGAGTGTTGGCAATCACCTGGCAAGTGCAGCGTTGCAGACTGGATGAACTATTCGATGTGCACGGGGCCACTAGATACCACCCATCGGGCCGACCATGGGCATGCAGTACCCGTGCCAAGCAACGAGATGGTTGAGGCCAAGGGCAAGGTCATCCACGCGAGCCACAAGACAGGAGTCGCCCATGGGCAACGTTGGTGCTGGAAGTGTGCGTTGGTGGCTTTACATAGTGATGGAGGACACGGTCGGTTGAACCTGCTGACGAAGGAGTGCAGAGACAATATCACCCCCAGTGGAGAGACGGTGCTACGACGACTACGCCGAGGGCTACCACCAAAGGCAGGCCAGAACTGGCCAGATGGGACAGCGCCGCCAAACGGCGGCAATATACTACGTGTCGCAGCAGGGAAGCGCTCACGTGGTTGACTACGCAGCTCGGGGCGCCGGCCCCGCAGACATGCTCTGCCTTGGAGAGGCAGTGAGGTGGAGGCCCGCCCTGTCTCTGGGGTGGGCCTGCGACCTCGTGAGGCCAGAACGGCCGCGTGGCCGCGGCCACAGCAGAGCGCTGCCCTGGAGTGGCAGGGGGATGGGGTCCCGCCCTGTCTCTGGATTGGGCTCGCGACCTCACGAGGCCTGCGCGGTCGGCGCAGGCGGGGTGCGCGGCGTCGGAGTCGACCGCGCTGCCCTTCATCTCGAGTCCTCGAGTCCTCCTCCTCCTCCTCCTCCTCCTCCTCCTCCTCCTTCTCCCTCCCTCCCTCCCCTCCCTCCCTCGCTCCCTCCTGCCTTCCTCCTCCCCCTCCTAACTGGCCGCTGCCCCTCGCCGCGCGGCGGCGACTCCCCCCCGCCCCGCCTCTCCTCCTCCGCCCCCCTCGTGGGAGTCCCGAGGGGGCGCGGCCTGCGAGATGCTTTGGGTCCACGGGCGGGCGCTGCGCACACTCGCGACCTCCGCGGGCCGGGATCGAGGACATTCTGCAAACGAGGAGGTCCGAGCGGAGAGCGAGGGCACACAACGACAGAAGGCCGAAGTTTCTGCCGCCACGTTTCGTTTGACGGTGTTTCCAAGCATCCACCACCCATACGGATTCCGCTTCGCACTGGGGTCACTCATCGGACCTTGGGGGATGTTTTCCCATTAGTGAGTCCTCATGTTAAGCATTTGTATTTTAGGAGTCCTGACAACAGAAACTATGTTTCGTAATCGTGGGGTCCTCGTAGGTTCATGCATGCCGAAAGAAACCTCTCTGAGGATCCAGTGGGTTACTGAGGATCCAGTGGGTTCAGCAACCTGTATGAAGGAATCACTGCGCATGCACTCCTCCAAATAATATTTAGCCAACCTGTGTTCAGAATGTGCGCGCCTCTTTGCTACGTAACCATGCCTATAAGAGCCGTTGCCCAAGGCAACCTCGCGGACTCCTAGCATTGCATCCTACTGCGGAATCCTTCTTATTCCAACGAATCGTTGATACGGAATGCTCGCTACAGGGATCCTGACGGAACAATCTTATTACATTGCCTTTTTAAACAGATATCCGATTCCCCACACAAAGCCACACACAGACAGGGCCGCACACAAATCAGACACATACGCACCGCACACCACACTACACAGACATTGACACAAACGCAAGGCACGGCAGGCGTGGCTCTTTCTCGACACCAGAGTGGGTGCGCAGTGGGTGGTCCCTGAGCGCGGTCTCTCTACGCTGCAGGCTCGCAGGGCACGGCAGGCGCGGCACGTTCTCGACACCATAGGGAGTGCGATGGGGGATGGGGGCGCTATGCGCTGCAGGCTCGCAAGGCATGGCAGGCGTGACATCTCTTCGACGCCATAAAACAGTGCGCTGTGGGTGGGGGCGCTATGCGTTGCAGGCTCGCAGGGCATGGCAGGCGTGGCACGTTCTCGATGCCACAGGGCGGTGCGCTGGGGGTGGGGGCGCTATGCTTAACAGGTTCGCATAACATGGCAGGCGTGGCATTCTCTCGACGCCACAGGGGGTGCGCTGGGGGTGGGGGCGTTATGCGTTGCAGGCTCGCAGGGCATGGCAGGCGTGGCGTTTCCTCGATGGCACAGGGGGTGCGCTGGGGGTGGGGGCGCTATGCGTTGCAGGCTCCCGCTATGCGTTGCATGCTCCCGCTATGCGTTGCATGCTCCCACATGTGCAGGCTCGCAGGCCGTGGCATTTCCTCGACTCCACAGGGGATGCGCTGGGGGTGGGGGCGCTATGCGTTGCAGGCTCGCAGGGCGTGGCAGGCGTGGCATTTCCTCGACCCCACAGGGGGTGCGCTGGGGGTGGGGGTGCTATCCGCTCTGGCTGTCCACGGCGCAGCATGCGTGGCACTTTCTTGACCACCTAGCATCATCCACGAATGTTGCACGGCAACCATGCTAAGGCAAGGGTTTGAAACGAAGTATGTGGGGTTCCTCGGTAACGTAATTACGGAGCCCTGTTTCAATCATCCTTGTTAAACTGATCCTTCCTCCAGCAATCCTTGCTACAGGCATCCTTACGAACGAACCGCTATCCAGGAACTGTTACGACATAATCTTGTACACAGGACATCTTAGCAAAGGAATCCCGGTAAGGAGCCCTTACTAACGGAGACCTCTGAGGGAACCATTACCAACTAATCCTTATTGTGCAAAGCCTTAGACAGTGAACTTCATTAACTGAAGTAATAATTACCACGAGTGCCATATTCAAATTCGTCCTGGCTACAGGGTTCCTTTAAAGGAAGCCTTTCCTAAAGCAATCCTTACCAACAAGTGTCGCTGAAAGAACATTCAAATCCTCCGGAAAATCCTCAGGAGTCATTCGGTGGCGTCCTTCAAAATCCCGACGGATACTTGGGGATCTGGAGAAATCCTGAAGGATTCTGTCGACTCCTCAAGCGCCCTTTGAACACCTAGAGAGAGAGAAAGAGAGAGAGAGAGAGAGACAGAGAGAGAGATGTAGAAAGAGAGAGAGAGAGAGAGAGAGAAAAAGAGAGAGAGAGAGAGAAGGATGGGAAAAGAGAGAGGGAAAGAGAGCTGGTGAGAGAGCCAGGCAGACTGCAGAACGAGACCCCCAGACTCCGCCGGGTCTGCTTTTGCGCCCCGAGCTGATCTGGGTGACCTGCTGCTCTCGGCCGGCCGGGGTGCGGACATGGTCCTCGGCTGTCCTGGGCCGATCCGGGTCAGCGCGGGGTCACCGTGCCCCCGAGCCCGGGGCGGATCCTGCGGGGCCCAAAGGTCCACACCACCAGCGCCCCCCTGGTTCCCTCCCTCTCCCCAGGAGAGCGGAGAGGCAGGCGAGGGAGGAGGAGGGAGGAGGAGTCGACGTGGTGGTGGAGTACTCCAGATTTCGTAATAAAGAGAGGGGGGTCTCATTTCGGGGGGGGGTCTCTTCCAGGCTACCTTGGAGGGCCTGGGGGGGTCTGGGGACGATGCTTTGGAGGGTTCTCCCACGGGGGGGGGTCTGAAATGGCTTGTCTTGGAGGGTCCAGACCCCCTCCCTTTTATTACGAAATCTGGCGTATCTATTCTTGGGGCCTGGAGATCCCCAGGAGTACAGACCCCCGGGGTCGCAGCAAGAGGGTCGCGGCGGGCTGCTTCTGCGAGTGAGGGGCCTCCGGAGGCCCGTTTCGGGCCCCGGGGCGTCCAAGAGGCTCTGGGTTCTTCGAGAGCGGGAGGAGCCGAGAGGCCTGGGGGCGCCCTCGGTCACGGCGAGGTCCTGGCGTCGGGGGTCTGGGGTGCCCAGCTCGGGGTCCACGGGCTCCAGGAGAGGTTCCCTGAGCCGGATCGAGGTATTCTGCTCCCTGCCCCCCCCCCCCCCCTCCCTGTCTTCCTGCGCCTCCTCGTCTTGAACCTTTTGTCTTCCCTCGCGCTCTTGGCAGCTGGATAGCTGCCTCGAGGGAGGGGGCCATGGAGTACTCAGCTGTACCTGCCTTGAACCAGCACGCCGTTCATTCTCCTCTCCCTTACGTTGCGTATCCGGGGGACGGGCTCTGCGCGGATCCGGCGCAGATTTGACATGAGTTCGACACGGACTCGACATGCTTTCGACGTTCGACGTTGATTCGACACACACAAAAACACATTCAAACAAACACACACACACATACACACGCACACGCACACGCACACACAAGCACACACAGACACGTACACACAAAGACACACAGGCACACAAACATACAGACACACAGACACACAGACGCGCCCCGGATAATACATCATACCTTCCCTTCCCCTTTGAGAGTTGACTCTCCCCGGCCAAGACAGAGTTGGTCGGGGGAGAGGGGCGGCAAGGCCGAACTTTATCATCGCGGGGAAACATTACGAATCGAAGTGGCTATCTTCTTATGTTGAGTAGTAATCTCATCAAACACCTGTGGCATGCGAATGGGGTTCTCACCATTTCAGCTTTCGCAAGTCACGATTTTTTGCGCCCGGACAGAACACCTCAGCGAGTGCTGTGGAATTCTCACCGTTTCAGTTTTCCCACGACGCTCTTTTCTCGTAATACATCCCTCATGCGGTTCTGGGAGAAACTGTCTGTGATTCCCTTGAGACCCCGAGCTTGATTATCCCCCGGGTGCTCTTCTCAGGGGCACAGGGTGACACACACACACACAAACACACACACACACACACCCACGCAATTTGCCTGGGTCGATTTGGGGGCACAGGCGAGCACAGGCGCCTCGACAGTGCTGGGCGTTCGCGGAAGCGAAGGGTCGAGAGGATCTTCGGGTGCCGCCACCCCATTGTCCCGAAGGGGATGCTCTAGTGCTGTGCAATGAGGGGTCGCCACTGCTTGGCTGCCGAACAGCGCACTTTGCACACACGCGCACACACACGCACACACACACACACTCACGTACACACTCACACACGCACACGAACGCACACACACATGCATAGACCCACACTCACACACACACACACTCACACGCACACACCCACACACACACTCACGCACTCACACACTCACACACTCACACACACACACTCACACGCTCACACACTCACACACCCACACACTCACACGCTCACGCACTCACATACTTACTCACCCACTCACACACACACACTCACACACTCACACACCCACCTCTACTGACACATGCAAACACACACACACTCACACGCTCACACACTAGCCCCCATCACTCACTCACACTCACACACCCACACACACTCACACACTCACATACTCACACATCCACACGCACTCACACACTCACACACCCACACACTCACACACACATTCAGACACTCACACGCTCACACGCTCACACGCTCACCCACTCACACACCCACACGCTCAAGCTTTTTTGCGTCGGCGGCTAGGCAGAGTGGCTCCGTTGGCGTGTGGAGCGACACGGTGCAACGTTAAGCGACTTGTGCCGCCATGCAGGAGGGGGGGAGGACGGACGACGGGGCGACGGCCGAGGCAAGGGGAGAGGCGGGAGCCGGGGCCGCTCAACCACTCAAACTTTCACACACCCACACACTTACACACTCACACACTCACGCACCCACACACCCGCACACTCACACACACTCACACACGCTCCCACGCACTCACACACCCGCACACACACACACACACACACACACTTTTGCGTCGGCGGCTGGGCAGAGGGCGACTGCTCCGGCGGAATGGCAACAGGGGACACGCTGTATGCAAATTAAGGCCGCAATGCACGGAGGAGGATGAGAAGGAGGAGGAGGAGGAGGAGGAGGAGGAGGAGGAGGAGGAGGAGCCCCGGCACGACAGGGGGAGAGGAAGCCAGGCCACTCAGGCGAGACGCCGGCTGCGGCAGGGGAAGCGCCGAGGGGGGGGAAACCAGCGACGGCACTTAGCGGCACTGAGCTGCACTGAGCTGAAGCTGAGGGGAAAGCAGCCCAGCAGACTGCGCGGGCAGTGGGGCAGCACCACAAGCGAATCATAGACTTGACCCAGTGAAACGGTAGGCGCGGATCCAGGGAGGAGCCATAGCGCCGGGACTTGGGGGCCTACGAGGCGAAGAGGGGGGCGAGAGGCGGAAGGCGGGCAGGCACGAGAGCGCCTCGACAGGCGACACCGTAGCCTGGCAAGTAACGGAGAATGGCGACCCAGAATCGGAGCCACTCCTGGCGAGCGGCACGGAGCGGAGGGCGCCAGTGGATGGCGGGCGAACCGGAAGGAGAGGACCACGCCAACGGGGGGAGCGGCGTGGGCCAGGGAGGCCACCGGGGGCGGGGCGTGCGCCGAGACCGGAGGGCCTCCTGGGCGCGAGCTGCGGTGGCGGGGTGAGGCGCCGCAGGAGCTTGGCAGCGTCCAGCACACCAGTAACCGGTGGATGGATGTGAGGCCTGGAACCCAGGCAAAGGTCGGGGGCGGAAAAGAGGGGGGTGATGACTAGGGGGGGGTGGATATCATGGCGGGGGTTATGATATTTCCCCAGATTTCATGGCGCCTCTTCTTATTTTATTACGTCCCTGGCCCCCCCGCTGGGCCGCGCACATGCCGCCGGTCATGATTTGCACCCCCCCCTCTTGGACACCCCCCTCTTGGCCGCTCCCGAAAAGGGGGGGACACCGAATAGGTGTAACGACGGTTGCGGAGCACTCCCTGCGGTCAGGGGCGCGTTCCGCAGCAGAAGCGCCTCGGCGCATGGAGGGCCAGCTGCGGCCCTTCGGTACAGCCGCAGGAGAATCGGGGAGGCGACGAGGCCATGGAGCGGAGGAAGCTGCGAAGGAAGGCGGCGTCGTGTTTGCTGGGGTCCCCGTTGCCCCCACCGCGCTGAGAGCAATGCCTGGCCCAGGCCGCACTGGGGCCGCCGCCTGCTCGCTGCATGTCCCTGATTGTGGAGGCCAGGGCCCCGTTGGCATTGGGGAGGTTGCGGCAGAGGGCGCCTGGGACAGGGGCGGCACTCTCCCGGCCCTGGGGAGTGCTGTGGTGCAGTGGGGGCGCGTATCAAGAAACCTTCTGTTGTTCGTCAGGGTATCCTGGGTTTCTTCGCTTCTCGCGCTGCGCGGTGACTTCCCACAGCCGTTGAAGGAGCTGCTGCGTTCAGGGTGCTCCGGGTTTCCCCTCAGGTGCACCTCGTGCACGGGTTCTCAGGGTTGGGTTTCCTGCGAGGGTTTCTTGTGGCCGCGCCCACACTGTAACCTCGGCGCTCGAGCTGCCAGCGTTCGTCGCCACATGGCCGGGGGTGTGGCGCGAAGTGGCAGTGGAGGAGGGGGGTGCCCGTCGCGGTGCCCGTCGGCGCTGCCCTGCGGCCGGGCCAGCGCAGCCTCGGGAGGTTCGGAAGGTGGGGCGCCAGGCGCCGCCCCATCTGAGCAGCGGCGCGCGGTCAACACGCGCGGTACGGTGCACTGGAGCACCGATTTCCAGCCGTGGCGACGAGGGACGCCTGTGGTATCTGCAATCCTTCCCAATCTGCAATCCTCCTCCTCCTCCTCCGAAGCCACAGGGGGAAGGGCGCCGCCTGGCCGTCGCCCATGCTGGGGCACCGGCTTCCCGATCTCGAACCTCGATCCTCCCCCTCCTCCCCCAATCCTTTCCGTTCTGCAATCCTTTCGCGGCGAAGAAGACCCTCTCCCTGCGCCGGCAACCCTGGGGCCACCACACGCCCTGGCCGATGCGTCACCGAAGACGGGTCGGACGGCAGGCACGCGCCTTTCCTGGGCACAGCGGGACCCCGTGCGGAGGGGGCCCGGTAGACCGCCGGGTCTGGGACGGTGCGGTGCTGGTGGGGGTGGTCCTGGCACAGGGTGCGTCTGTCCGCCGTGGGGGCAGCACTGCTTCGTGTCGATGCAGGCGGCCGTGGCGGGGGGGTCGTTGGCGGCCCCCGCACCCAAGGCCTGCTCCCCGCCTCCTCCGCCCGGGGGGCTCGTGGCCGTGGGGTTGTGGGTGGACTTCGCCACAAGCCTCTTCTGCTTCCCGTCACCAGGGCCCCCAGCCTCCTTCTGAAGATACTTCTCTCCGGCCGGGGGGCAACTCAGCGAGGCCGTCGAGGGCCGGGACGAGACGGGCGCCTCGGGGGAGCTCTCGGCAAGGGGCGCAGCGGCGTGGAGCGATGGGCCCCCTAGCGAAGATGACGCCTGAGCTGGGGGCGTGTTGGCGGCTTCCACAGCCGAGCTTCCCTGTCTGTCATCTCCTCCGTTGGGGGGGGGGCGGCGGCGTGCCGTGGTGGCCGCGGCCCGTCGGGGCGGGTCGGCGCCCCGGGGGAGCTCTCGGAGAGCGCTCGGCAGGCGGACGAGACGCGCGCAGGCGAAGGGCAACCCGGGGGGGGGCCGTCGTCGGGCGGACGAGGCCGGCGCCCCAGGAGAGCTCCTGGTAGGTGGCGCAGCGAGGAGACGGGGTCCGCCTCGGGGAGACGAGTCTCCCCCAACTCGGGGAGACGCGTCTCCCGCACGGTGGCTGCCGCCGGGGCACCTGCACCCTCCGTCTCGCCAGTTCGATGCTCCTGAAACGCCCCTCGGGGCCCGGGGGGTTGCACCGCGGTCTGGCGGGGGGGGGGTGGCAGCGTCGGCGCTGTCGCCTGGCACTCCTGAAGCCGTCACGTCGAGAGGGGGGCTAGACAGGTACCGCAGGGGGGGGGGCGGTGGTCTGCGCCATCGGGCTGCCTGTGCGCCGCTCAGGGCTCAGAGGTGCCCCCCCGTTCTGGCGGGGGATAGTCGCTGCGCCAGGGCAATCGCAAGGCGCTTCCGAGGCCACCCTTTCGAGAGGAGGACTGCTCGTGGCGACGGTTGTCTCGTCCGTTCGTGGGGGAGCGGCTGTCTGCACCTTCGGGTTGGCTGCAGGGAGAGGGGGGGGGCACCGAATAGGTGTATGGTCGGAGATTGAATGAACCCTCCTCTCTGCAGCCGGAGGCGCATTCGGTAGCGGTAGCGCCCCGGCGCATGGAGGGCCTGCTGCTGCCTGAGGGGGAGGATCACGAAGGTCGTCTGACGTCGCTTGCTTCTCGTCCCCTCCGTCGGGGGGGGGGACAGGGCGAAGAACCAGGACCAGGACGGGGCGATCCAGGCACCCCGGGGCTCTCGGCGAGGTGCGTAGCGGCGTAGGGTGACCGTCATCGTCGTCGTCATCTTCACCATCACGCACACACGCTCACACACTCATACACCCACACCATCACACATTCACGCATTAACGCATTTACATACACACGCATCCATACACTCTCACACACACATTCGCACATTCGCACACTCACGCATTCACAGGCTTTCGCACCCACACAATCACACACCAATTTACTCACACTCTCACACACTCACACACCCACACATATTCACACACCCATACACACACTCACACACACGCACACACATTCACACACCAACACACCCACGCACTCACGCATTCACAAACTCACACACTCACACGCCCACGCACTCACTCACACACTCACACACTCACACATTCACGCTCACACACTTAACACACTCTCACTCACACACCCACACACCCACACACTCACACACTCACCCACTCACGCACCCACACACTCGCGCACTTACGCACTCACAAATTCACGCACCCGCATAATCACAAACTCACATTCACACAGCTACACACTCACACACGCTCACACGCTCATACACGCGCACGCAGTCGCACACTCACACAATCACACACTCACACCCACACGCTCACACACTCACGCGCTCACGCGCTCGCACACACACACACAAACACACAAACACACAGACACACACGCTAGCATACTGACACGCCCACACGCACTCACACACTCACACACTCGCACACTCGCACATTCACACCCACGCGCTCACACACACACACACACACGCACACACACGCACACACACTCACAAACTCACACGCACGCACCCAAGCACACACCCACATACACACACCGACACATTCATCCACCCACACCCACACACCCACACACACACATCCACGCATTCACACACTCACACTCACAGACCCACACACTCACACACCCACGCACGCACATTCACACACACAAACACGCACACGCTCACACGCTCACGCACTCACACACTCACAACTCATACGCTCACACATTCACACACCCACGCACTCACGCGCGCACACACTCACACAGCCACACACTCACGCACTCACGCACTCACAAACTCATGCGCTCACACTCACACGCGCACACACTCACACACCCACACGCTCACACACTCACGCACTCACACACTCACGCACCCACACTCACGCGCTCTTACGCACTCACAAACTCACACGCCCACATAATCACACACTCACACTCGCACACATACACACCCACACACACACTCACCCGCTCATACACAAGCTCACACACTTGCACACTCACACGCACACACACTCACGCATTCACACACTCACCCACTCACGCACTCACACACCCACACACTCACACACCCACACCATCACACACACATTCACACATTTACACACTCACACATTCACACACACACACACACTCGCACTTTCACGCAGTCACACATGACACATCCACACACTCACACGCTCACACACCCACGCGCTCTCACACACGCTCGCGCATTCACACACCCACACACACCCACGCACTCACACACCCACACACACACGCCCACGCACACACACACACATACACGCACAAACACACATTCACACACCCACACACACATTAGCACACTCACGCACACACACACACACTCACGCACTCACGCGCTCACGCACTCACGCACACTCACACACTCACCCACACACACACACTCACACGCTCACGCACACTCGCAGACACACTCACACACACTCACACACTCACGCACTCACAAACGCACGCGCTCACACACCCACACGCTCACCCGCTCACACACATTTCCACCCTCACAGACTCACACGCAGTCTTGCATTCACGCACTGACGCACTCACACGCTCGCACACACACACACACACGCACACACTCACACACGCACACGTATAGTGTATACGTATGGTCATCGGTTGACATTTTCACGTACAGACATCGACATATAGATGTACTTCTGGATCTATACACATAGATGTGTATAGTTTCGACGCGGATTATTTCGCGACGTGGCAGACAAGGCCCCGGATATGCAACGTATGTTTTCTCTTTTGCTCCGCTCGCCTGATCAGGCCCCGCTCCGCCTCCCCGGCGTTCTTTGCTAAGCGGGGGGGGGTCGCCTCCTCCGCCGACAACGCTGGGCCGACTTCAGGGGGGTACCTTTCCCACGCTTATCATCGAACGCAGGAACTCAAGACTCCTTACGGGACGCGCGAATCTCGATCTTCTTGTTTAGTGTCTGCCACGACGGGCGTCTCCATCATGCCGTGCTTCGCCGACGGCCGTGGAACGCCTGACCTGGCAACGGCATCGGGTAATACGTTTCCGTTTTTTAGTGCTGCCCGGCAGTCACATTAAGAAAATGTGTCATGCCAGGTTTTACCAACAATATTCTCGGCCTCGTGTATGGCGGGGGGGGTATGCAAGGGTAGGGGCATGATGAGAGGCAGGACAAGCAGAAGGGGGAGGGGGCGGAGGGGGTGTCCAGGGGCTGGCGTATCAGGGGGAGCGGAAAGGGGGGGGATCCAGGGTCCATGGCACCATGCGCAGGTAAACCTTGCGATTGCAGCGCGGGTGTTGGAGACGGAGTAGAGACGTCCTGTCGCCAAATGGGGGTGTGAGATTAGATTGCGCATGGAATCAGCCAGTTAGTCTTAAACACCCCTGGCGCTGGATGGACTGTTGAGTGCCGAAGGCCGAACTTCCATTCCATTCTCCATGTGCTCGTCAAGCCAGTATCTGGTATTGCGTTGCAGCTCGAGTCGGCGGCGAGCGGGGGGGGAAGTGAGAAGGGGCGGGCCTTCCGAGAACTTTCCTAAGTCTTTTCCGCAGACACAGGGAACCTCTCAGAAGGCTCAAGAGCTTTGAGAAGCCCGCCGCCTTCTGAGAAGGCCTCCTCCTTCTCACGTCCCCCCCTCGCTCGCCGCCGATAGGAGCACCATCCGTGGTGAGCCGAGCAGGCCTCCAGGGCTCCCGAGGCCAGGGCGTCCAAAGCAGGGGCGCGGCCTTCGCGCTGAAATGGAGATTGTCAGGAGCTCGTTTCCTCCGTCTCTCCGCTTCCCTCTCTTCAGGGGGCGAAAGGTCGGTATATAACAAGCTTTTCCGCCGTCGGGGACGCCTGTCCCAAAGCGGCTGGGGAGTGTATGCCCTGACGTGCCACCGTAGGGGCATGAATTTTCCAGCCGCCCTGGGGCACGCGTCCCCGACAGCGGAACAGTATTATATACCGTTATTTGTCCGCTGACTTCTTCCTTCCTCCTCCTCCTCCTCCTCCTCCTCCTTCCGTAGCCATTTTGGCTCAAGCCATTTTGGCTCAAGTGCCACCTTCCGCGGAGTTGGCGGCGACATCGCAAGCGCGGTGACCATCTCATTCCTACATGCTTCTTCCACAGTGCGCCCTTATCTTCGCTGCAATGGTGGCGGCTCTGCATCCATTTCAACGGCTTGCTCCCTCAGCCGCACGTGCGGCGACATGCACTTCAAGGGGCTCGGGAGCTTACCGTCCGCGAGGGACACGTTCCACACTCGCAGCGGAACGTTGCTGACACCGTGCGCTGGAACGCCACTTTTTGCTCCCGTCCAGAACGGGCTCAACGTACATGGAAGTCCCGTTGGCCATCAAGCCCGAGCTCAAGCACCTTGCGTTATCCACTGATGCCACGCGGGCAATTGGTATCCATCGGAGCAACGGCGCTCAACTGGTATCAAGACTGGTATCCATCGGCGCAACTGCGCTCAGCTACGGGATGCCGCTTTTGCTTCTGGTCACATCGACCGCGCGGAGGCAAACGCTTTCAAGTACACGTGCCCGAAGGGCAGCATGGCACGGCACCGCAGTTGAATTTGCAGTACCACGTCACCCACGACGACCTCACGGCCAATATCCACGCCTGCGAAGCGCGTCCTCTGGGCCGACAGCTTCGACGAGCATTTCCCCGAACTCACCTCCGACTCCACAGTCGCCTCCACGCACCAGGTCGTCTCCACAGATCCGGCCTCTGCTTCCTTGTCGTCGGGGTGCTCACGCCGCTCTTGCTCACGACTGTTGTCGCACGGTTCGCCCTCCTCGCTTGCTACGTGCGATGCCTGGACGGACGACGGGACCAACTCCACTCGCAAGAACTCGCTGAGCTCCATGATCACGGAAAAGGTGCGGGACGCCGAGCTCTCGATGGCCAAGCAGATTGATGAACAGATCCACGGCACCATGCGCTCCCTCGTCGCGCGCACCGAGCTGGACGAACCCATCCTGGCATCCGCGCACTCGCTCACGGCGAAGATCGACGAGACACTCTCCGAGGCCACGAATAAGTGCGTTACCCTCGAGCTGCTCGCGGCACAGCTCTCCAACATGACCAAGATGCTCCTGGACAACAACACGGAAGCTCTGAAGACCATCACCGTCAACACGAACGCGATGCTTGCGACCACCCACTCGTCCATTGCCGCAGCGCACAAAAACATCAACGATATGGAATCGGACATTGATCGGTTCAAGTCTCGGCGGCAGTCGGACAACAACACGGAAGCCATGTGGACCACCACCGACACCATGAAGTCTTCCATTGCAGCGCACAACCGCATGAACGAGATGGACATGGATTTCAGTCGGCTCAGGTCTCAGCGGCAGTCGGACCCCACGAAGTACAGCGACCAGTACCACGACAAGTTCGATGAAATCGGGCTGCGGATTGCCTCTCTGGAGGTCCACCGCGCGAACCTCGCAGACAAGAACTTCGAGACCTCCCTGGACCCGCCGCATCCACTGAACGGCTATTTCGGTGATCTCACTGCAAGCATCCAGTCCGACAGCTGCGTCGACGAGTTCCCGAAGCTGCTGGACACGTGCGCCTTCACATCCAAGCCATTGTCGTACATGTTCGGGCTCATCGCTGAACATCTGCAGTGGGTGGACTCCGTGGCAGCTGCGATGTCGTCAGCACCGTCGCCTTCATATTCATCTCCGAGCTCAGCTCCTTGGAGAGCTTCTCCATCATTAACGAGTGCTGCCGCTTGGAGCGCGTCTACGGGTCCAGCCACTTGGAGCGCGCCCCCGGCTGACTTCCGATGCGGGCGATGAGAGCGAGGCGATGAGAGCGAGCTCTTTGCCCTATTCTCGCTTCTTGTCCGCTTGCCCTCTTCGCGTCTCTTCTTGGGTACCCCGACTCCTCCTCCTCCTCCTCCTCCTCCTCCCTTCTCCTCCTTGTCCTCCTCCTCCTCCTCTTCCTCCTCCTCCACCACCCTCCCCTCCACCCTCTCCTCCTCCTCCTCCTCCTCCTCCTCCTCCTCCGACCCCCCCTAGCTCCTGGGAGCAGGAAGGAGGAAATGATCGAGGAGGAGGACGATCGAGGAGGAGGAGGAGGAGGAGGCGGAGGACGAGAAAGAGGGGGATGTGGGAGGAGGATGAGCCATGTCGTGGAATAGTACGGGTTTCGTCGTTGTTCCAGCTTGCGCCCCGATGCTTTGCGTCTCTGTCAGATCGCTTCCCTCCTCCCGCGCTCGTTCGGCGTCGATGCCCCATCCGCTCACCGTGCGCTCGGCGTTGGCGTGCGTACCGTGCGCTTGCGTCCTGTCTATAGTAATAGTTGTCCGCGCGACTTGCACGGATAGCCGTGGATTGGGAATGAGGTTGGCGGTGATACGTGTTTCGCATTTGGTGTGATCCGACTCTCGACTTCCGAGGGCATCGCATCCATCAGAGACGTCCTGGCGAGAGTGCGAGCAGCCTTTTCAGTACATCGAACTGCACTCCAGAAAAGGGGGCCGCCAGGCCCCCTCCCCCTGAACCAAAACGGTCGCAGGAAAAAAGGGTCTGAAGGTTCTGGGCTAAGCTCCTAAAGGCCTCTAGAGCTTTTGAGGGCCTCGAAGCGCCTCTAGATTCACATGTGGTGTGCACCTGATTTCCGCTCCGCCCGCTTTGGATTTCCAATCGTTTTACGGTTGTTTCATGAACGGGTCCACGCATTTGGAGTTTGACTTAAGCCAGGCGTGTCCATCTACAGGAGGAGCTTTTAAGAATAGTCAAAAAATAGTCGATGGACGATGTTTGGAGTATTTTGGGACTATGTTCGAACATGTTCGAGCGTCTTTTAGTTTGTCGTCCAAAATCCGCCTGTCGGGGGACATGCCCGACCTAATGTTTGACCCATGTTCGCTGCGCCCTTTATCCGTGTTTGACCCCCGTCTGCCTCGTGTATGATGCACGTGCGATGGCGAGGCACCGCTGGAACACAGACACAGACACACACACACACACATACTCCAGATTTCGTAATAAAAGGGAGGGGGTCTCATCTCGGGGGGGGGTCTCCTCCAGGCTGTCTTGGAGGGCCTGGCGGGGTCTGGGGACGATGTTTTGGAGGGTTCTCCCAGGGGGGAGGTCTGCAATGGCTTGTCTTGGAGGGTCCAGACCCCCTCCCTTTTATTACGAAATCTGGAGTACACACAGACGTTTGGGCCACAGTCGGCCACTCCGTCCGGACGCAGCCAGGACATTCCCACGATGACGATGTGCAGGCCAGCAGTTACTCTCGATCGACGCGACCATGACGCCGCCATCTATCCGGCGATCGCCAACATGAACCAAGAGGGCGAGGACTAGCGACGGGTCCCGTTTCCAGGGGAAATCGCGGACTGCCGCCGCCGAAGGAGGCGGCACTGGCCGCATTTTGGGGAGGTTCCATGGATTTGGCGACCGCGCGCCAAGTCCAGGGATCGCTAATCCATTTTTGCGCGCCTCCGAATCTAGACACCATCGCGACGCAACGAAACCTTTGCGACACCACCACGACACCACCACGATATCACCACGACGTCACCACGACACCGTCGCACATCGCAACGCCGCCGGGAACCCCGGGGCCTCGGGAGGCCTTTTTAGACACCAGGACAGAAGCGGTGGTGGTGCCTCCTACTCCTCCTCCTGTTCCTCCTTCTCCTCCTCTTCCTCCCCTCCCCCTCCCCCTCTTCCTCCTCCTCCTCCTCCGCCTCCTCTTCTTCGGCAGGCCCAGAATGAAGGCAAACCGCTTCTGGAACGGCCGCGGCGCTTGACACATCCTACTGCCAACTCTCAGAGATTCTCGATGTTCCTGATCTCGGGGGCCCCCAAACGTTTCGGGCATCGAGAGAACGCCAACTCAGATAGGTCGACCGAGGAATTCTGCACGGCTTCACTCGACCGGTTGTCTGAGGACTTCGATTGGTGATTCTGCACGTGGGCATTTGGAATGCGGTGCCGTGCGCACGGGTAGTGCCCTTAGCAGCTTTCACTGAAGAGAGTTCTGCTATATATATATATATATATATATATGGATGGTGTTCTGTCAATCTTCGAGCGGTGTGATCACTGCACCGTGTGGTGAGTCAGTGGGAATCGGGGTCTCGGGCGACTGGTACCTTCAAGGTCCCCAAACTGCGCGGT